CTTGAAATCATCAGCTCTGATATCTCCTAGCCAAGATCTTAGTAGCTCAGGTCATTCACGTCGACTACATGCGTTTGTTGTTCCCACTGTTAGTATTTCGCTGCTGCTGCATTGCGTTAGTTGAACCTCTATTTATGCAAGTGCTTTTTCTGCTTGTTGCGCCAACGGAAAAGAGAAAAGTGTTCGTACAGCTGAACAACAAAATTGGAGCTATTAAAAAAACTTGCACTTGCGTAAGTTGATGCAAAATGTTGCCTTTAATTTTGGCGTTAGGAGAATAACTATTAGTGACAAGAGAAAACGCATTACACTAAAGAAAGTTGTGCTGTGCTTGAGCTGAAAAGAAAATACTTAGTGATGAGGGAAAAATGATCACACTATTTAGTTTTATTGAATTTTAAAGGGCCCATATTACTATTTCCTTAAATGTCTGGTCTTACATATAATTTTATTTTACAATTTTTCTGTAGTGCTGCATGTATCATAATATTTCTTTTTTACTTTCCAAACAAATTATTTTGCTACATAAAAGATGAAAGGGAGTATTGACTTTTAATGTGCAATAACAACTTCAGACTTTTATTGGGCAAAGTTTATAGTAAATTGTTATTTTCTTGGCTTCTCTGTCCTATTTTAACCATAATTCCAGGTAGTCCGACACTCACAATTATTTAACCACCATTCAGCTCCTTTTAAGTTAGATAACCCGAACACTGCAGTATTAACCTTCCAGCACGCGTGTGCTCAAAATTTACGGCAAATTCAATTTTTCATGCATATTTTTCGCATGTCGAAGCTGAGGCGTCTGAAGGTCATATCTATTCCTCCTTTCTACCCTTCCCCACATCATGGAATGTGCTAACAGGAAGTCATTTGACTTTTTTTTAAACTGGGCTTTTGTGCTACGTGGCAGCTTTTTCATAAAAGTTACGACCCGCGCGTGGTCGTGTTTTAAAATTCGGAAAATATTTTTTTCTCAAATATTTTGTAGTTTTTGTGTTATTAATTGCCGTGTATTATTTTAATTTGAATATATTTGGCTCTGTAAATTTTATATCGGTTTTCATGGAAAAAAAAAAAATATGCCCAACCAGCTGATTTTGCTCGGATTCTTCAAGAATTATCTGATGAAGAAAAGGAAGACAAACAAACCTTTGGATGGGATAAGAATATCAATTTCCATTCCTTATTTTCTTTTATTTCTGTTTTTTAGAAATAAATAAAAACATTAAAAATTAGTTTAAAGTGCGTTTTTGTAACCAGTAAGAAGTAAATTTCCTTGCAGAAGTAAGTAATGCTAAACTTACTTTTTTCCAAGGTGTTTTCTTTTTTATTGTCTATATTTAATTTTATTGTCTTTGATGAATATTAAAATTAGCTTCGATTTAAAATATATTTATTAAATAATAAATTTAAAATTTTCTATAATGAAATACATCATTGCATTTCCATCTAACTAACATAAGAACTTAAAAATCATTTACTTATATTTGAATGTGATATCATTCGTATTTTGCAATAAGATTAATATTTTATTTCTTAACAAAATTATTATCAATATTCACTCATTTCTCTCGTTTTTCGTGCCAAAAAAACGATAAAATAACGGTAGTCGTAAAAAATACGACACGCGCGTGCTCATGTAAAATTGCCAAGCGCGCGTGCTGGAAGGTTACGTTTGTAGATTCATTAGAATTGTTGATGCTGGAAACGTGAAAAATGTGCAGCGCCTTCGTCGTGATTCGTACTCCGGAACTTCCGAATACTCGTCGAGTGTGCTTCCAATTACACCACGAAGGCATGCGGAAAGGAGAAAATATACGAAATACTTTATAAGCTAACTCGAAAATTAAAATTAGTAAAAGCTGAATTTTGGACTGTTGTTAGTTTTATAGGAATATCAGTGAATTTCGATAAAAGACTTCGTACCTCTGAAGAGAACTGAATTTTTCTACAAAACCAATGTCAATCTAGAGCTGAATTTTATTTAATTTTCATTCTCGAATTAGTGCGTTTTATTTCCGCATATCAACTGTAGATTACTCAGTATGTTTGCTTATAGAAGCTGCTATGAATTGTCAGCAGGTGTACATTTTTATACTATCATCATCAATGATTTTATACTATCATCGTTTAATCATCTTAATCATTATTAGCTCCTTTCTAAGTACAGATAATTTAAAAAAAAACCTATATTTTTTCAAGAAAAATAGACGGTATAAAGAATGAAAAAAAAAAATATGTAAGTTGTATTATTTTTCTGACCGTAAGATTTCTTTTTTAGATTGCAAAATATAATTCTGATGAAAGATAAGTAACATTAGTATTTAATATAACATTAGTAAAATAGTAGATAAGTAACATTAGTGAAAAAAATTAGTTATTTAAATGTTTAATGTTAATCACCCGATATCTAAACACAATATAAAATTAGGCAAAGTAGCAACCTTCTGTTTGGCGTCGATTTCAGTCAAGATTCTACTTGATTTCGTTCTCAAATAGGCACTTATCAGAGCAAAGAAATCTAAATTGAAGGGAAGCCACGGTTATATTTACACCCAAAAGGGGTTGAACGAACGAGAAGGTAGCCCCATCTGTCAGCAGAACTAATAACAAAAACTGAAATAATTACTTTAATCGATTTTAAAAGCGTTAGGAAGCACTGGGTTTGAAATACAGTCATTAACCTAGCAAGATAAATCTTTGTAAATGTAAAACGTTTCAAAAAGTCCAGTTAACCAATGGAAGAAGCTTTTAGGGTAATTTTTGCGGACCCAAAGTCCAAATCTTGTTAAATTTTTAACTATGAAGCGTTAATTTCGCCATTTCAGACATAAGATTTGTGTTCCCTCATGGAAACTTGCTCTTTTAGTTTGGCTGATATGTCTCAAACCACACTGAGAAGATATGCTATAAATTTCTCAATAATTAAAGTCAGAAATGGAATCTTTAAGAATCAGACCATAGATTTTGTTGATAGGCGAGAAAATAACTTGAAAATTGTACTTCTGGAGAATCCGCGTACTTTTATAACTGATAGAAGGATGAAATGGAAGTACGACAAGGTTATTAATGTTATTTCTAAGAGCGGAATGTCTTCTTTGATGGCAAGATTAAAAACATTTTTAAGACCTTTATCTCTGACCATAAGATTCTGTGTTCCATAAGGTACTTATGTTCGAAAATGAAAAATTAACAAACCTTCTATAGCTAACCGTTGATGGAGCTTTAATCACAATTTTGACTTTGCGTCTGCAAAAATGATCGGGAATCCTTCTTCCATTGGTGAAGCTTTTCATACTCACTGAGATTTATCCTGTTTAGTTAATTACTTTAATTCCAATCCAGTTGTTCTCAACATTTTAAAAATTCTATTATCTTAATTTTCAATTTTCGTTACCATTTCTGCCGACAGATGGCACTAATTTTCAACCTCGGTTTACTCTTTTTGTGTATAAATACGACTGTGGTTACCCTTCGTTGCTATTTGTTTTTGCTCCTGATGAACAAAGACTTACATTTGTTTGCTCTCGATATCGATAGAGTCTTGACTAAAATCTATGCCAAACACAAAATTGTTGCTTTACCTAATTTTATGTTTTACTTTGGTGTATTTCTCTTCTGTCTTGATGTAAACACAATTTTAATCATAAGCTTAGTTATGGCAGAATATTTTTGAGAGCATAAAATACAGTAGCTGAAGTTTACTGGAAGAAGCTCCAGTAAATCCCAATAACAGATGCAGCTCCTTTGCTTGACATTTTTAGTAATATAATTTAAATAATACAAGCGATGGATAACGCAAAGGACTTTGGAATAACCGATGAATGTCATGGCAGATTTTATAAAGCATAACTGAAGTATAATTTTTTGGGCGATAAGAAAAATGCTAAAAATTGTCAAGGCTAATAAAGATATTTAAAGATTTAATTGATTGTGAAAGTTTTTCACTCTTAATTTTTTTCTTTCCCTTAATTGCTGCCAGTAGTCTTCATTTCTAATGACTCTACTTTTCTCTAATGGATCGTTTTCAGTTTCCTTCATTTTAAATTCCTCTGACGGCTGCTGTCAGTTTTCATAATCGTAAATTATTCAGTGCATTGGAAGTTTATAAGCAGTTGAGATTTAAATATCACGAAGTCCATACTTTTATGCTGTTTAACTAAGAGCTTAAGCTAAAATTCATGTGATAAGTCCTTTATACCGAGCATTTTGCATTAAGTAATTATTTTTCGTGCTTTAATCAGTTCAATACTTTTTAATTCGAAAGGAATATGAGCCTTTAAGCAACGATTAATTTGGTAAGAAGCATTATATTGTCAAATAAAGAGTTCTAGATTATTATGACTTTATTAAAGTTATTAATTAAATATGCTATAAAATTAAAAGATAGCAACTGAGTAAATATTGTATTTCGTTGATGTTCTATTTTGAAAAAAATCCGTATGTAGCAAGCCAATGTGAAAATTAGTAAAACTCACTAATAATGGCAAAATTCAATTTGTATCTGACATAAGTTCCAAACTCAAACTGACGCTGGGAAAAATCACATCAGTTATATAAAGTCATTACACATAAAGTCATAATAATCGCATGAGCCCTCAATCATATCGATTAATGACGAAATGTTTCTCTGTGAGAGTTTATTTTCTGTCTAATTTATAGTACGAAAAATGTCTAATTTTCTACAGAAACATAATCTGATGATTTCGCGCAGAATTTCAAAAATTTAGATTGATTGATCGGACTAAAACAATGTAAAATGAATTAATACGTAAGTAATTATATGTTTTCCTAGAGTTGAACAGGTTAATAAATTTAAGCGTTTATCATAGTGAAAGTAATCAGTTAATTCATCAGGAACTTAATAAAATCATCTCGTCTGAGCCAGTTATAATTGACTTAGGATATTTATATCGTATCATACACTTTTAAGACAAATTTTTATTGTTTCTTATTTACACTGACTACAGTGGTTACGACAGACAGTTTATACGTACCTCAATCTTACACTGTCGTCACGGAATGCAAAGTCTGGAAGGTAATGATAACACCTTGCGCAAGTATCTCTGCGATATTCATCCAAAGTGAGTTGGATACCACGTTCTGTTCGACAAGACATGATATAGAATAGATCTGTTTCGTTATCTGATAACAAAATGTCAGCATGGATAAAATGAAGCACCTGAAATAGAAGAATTAAAAATTTTAAATTACATGTTTAAATGAAATTCATATTTGAATTTTTATAAAATCGATAGAACTGGTTATAATATTATTCTCATTATTATGAAATCGTTTTGTTGTTGGATTTGATTAGCATAGTAATTTTCTTTTACGGGAAAGATGCATAACACCTCAAATTTATTTTCAAAGGCATATGATTTCTGTTGACTTGAAGTTTTAGAAACCTGTACATTGTTTAGGCATTTCAGTGGTTTTTCAGAATTAAAATTATACTGCAAAGCAATTTTCTGACGGAACTCTAAAATTATCAGTGAGAGCTTTTTGAATGCTCTCTATATTTAGGTAACTAGTTATTTTTTTATCTAAAAAATGTCTGGAAATTTTGGTTTTCATCCTTGTTTAATGGTTCACAATGTAGAAACGTTCACACCGTGCTAGATTCGGGGAGTAAAATATTGATTGTTATAAGTTGCATTAATTTTCCATACATTTTAAGTTATTGAATTCTTAAGTTTTTCAGCAGAAATTTATTAGTTAATGCAAAATTATGAAATATACAAGTAAAATATTCTGCTTTCTTTCTTGCGCTTCCAAATCAATACGCGAATATGCATTTACTACTCCAGCCTAAAATACGCATGTCTGAGATGTTAGCATCATGAGATGATTGGTACATGTTTTATTTTTTATTACGATAGTTTCGAGGACGATGTTATTAAATTGCGACGTTTTTGAAGTGCCTTTTTTTCGTTTGCAATACTTTATACCAGGGATGTCAAACTCATAGGTACACTTGGGCCAAACAAACAAGGTTTAACTTTAGGCGGGCCAAGAAAAAAAAAATCAATATTCATAGAAACGTAGATTTATTTCGAATAATACAATAATAAACATATATATATATTTATATAGAAAAGAACAAGAAAAGTTTAATGTTTACGTCCTGATACTTGAGATCTCTTCTCTGCTATTATCTTTCCTATTTCGGGAGAAATTTTGTTTGCAGTGATAACTTTCAACGCTGACCCAAGGTGAGCATCATTAATACGGTTTCTAATAGGAGACTTATTATCTTTCATGACTGAAAATAACTGCTCGCACCGATAAGTGCTACCAAACATGGAAATAATTTCATATGCAAATTTTCGAGTATTTTCAAACCTGGCTGGTAAATATTTGTAAAACTCAGGCACGTCCACTTCAGTGAATTTTGCTTTCAAATTTGGGTTGCATTGAGTCTCGATCACCTCCATTTGCATATGGCTGGGTACTGAGTCAATACTTATTGAGAAAAACGAAGAAAACAAAAAAAAATTGCCTTCGAGGGAACTAAAATCATTAAACCTCGTTTCAAATTCAGTTGTTAAATTTGCAATTTTTTCTGCGTATTTTTGATACGAACAAGTATCATCTAAACTTGATTTATTCATGCTGCACGTCGGGAAGCGCGTCAAATCTTCATTTTTAAGTTGTTTTTCCCAAAGAACTAGTTGACATTTGAATGCTTTAATTATGTCAAACATGTTCGTAATGATATGATCTTTTCCTTGTAACGATAAATTTAAATCGGTTAAGTGTTTTGGTTATATCAACCAAGAAAGATAAATCTTGTATCCGATATTGGATCGTAAAACAAACTTACGTCTTGATTTTTCGTTTTTAAAAACTGACATATTTCTTCTTTCAAATCCCAGGAATTGTTTGAGAATCTTGGAGCAAGATAACCAACGTACCTCGGTATAGTAGGACAAACCCGAATATTCACTATCTAACTCACTTAAGAAAGCAGTGAATTGACGCTTATTTAAACCTCGAGATCTTATAAAATTTATAACTTTTTTATATATGATAAAACATTCTCCATATTTATTACTTTCGTGCATAGAATTTCTTGATGTGTAATACAATGCATATGATGAATGTTTGAACCGTGAATTTCACTAAGTTTTTTTCTTAGTAATGCTACGAAGCCCTTGTTTTTCCCGGTCATTGATGGAGCGCCATCTGTAGCTACAGAATTTAATTTTGCCAAAGGTAGATTGTATTTCTGCAGAAGTCCAAAAACACAAGTAAATATATCTTCTCCTGTGGTAGTACCAGGCATCGGTATTAGTTCCAGTAATTCCTCAAAAATGTTAAAATTCTTGTCACATGAACGAAGAAACACTGCTAATTGAGCTTTACCACTAATGTCCATGCTCTCGTCACAGGCAATGAAGAAACTTTCGAAACTAGATGATTTTGCTTTCATCTGATCACTTAAATTCGCGGCTAAATCAGTAACTCTTTCCGCAACTGTATTTCGAGACAATGAAATTGATTGAAAAGCATTCACATTTCCAAGACAAACAATTTCTCCAGCTTTCATTAGGCATTCCTTGATGAAATCACCGTCAGTAAAAGGCTTCGAATGTTTAGCTATCGACTCGGACAAGACGTAGCTTGCATGTACCGCCGCTTCACTTTCTTGCAATACTTTACTAAACATGGACTGTTGCTTTTTCACTCCTAACTTTCAACTTTTCTTCTCTCATTAATCCTTCGCAATTGCTATATTTCGATTTGTGTTGTTCGTAATGACGTTTAATATTATATAACTTTGGTACATTAATAGTATTATTACATATCAAGCAGATTATTTTATCTTTTATTTCACAGCAAAAATATTCTAATTCCCATTTTACTTGGAATATTCTATGTTCGTCAGCGATTTTTCGTTTAATTTTACTACCACTTGGTTTTGATATAGACATACTGAATACAAAGGGCTGGAATAAACACGGTTAACGTTAAAAAGTTAACAAAAATTTATTCTTTCCACAAGAGATAAATCAAAATGCTGAAATATTTCTTCAAAAATATTCTAACAATATCACAAAATGTCAAACGTTTAGCAAAAATCAATTCAAAACAGAGAAACGAATTCTATCTCACAGCGAAATCGCTACAAATCAATCACAGCATTAAGTAAACAAACAGTTCGCTAAAACTACAGCTACTATTGAGATGAGTTGTTTGTTCTAGGCTTTTATAAGTTTTATAATTAATTTCTCGAATATACTGGAAACATCTATAAATATCTGGATTTTTGTGGATGGCAACAGCAATTACGAGATATTTATTTATTAGGTATTAAATGCACGCGCTGTTCTATTTTTAACCTTCCAACGCAGCTGTCTTTTCAAAAATCGTCTGTGTTGCTAAGGCAACATGAAGCAAATCTAATTACAATTCTAAATAAAAAAAACTAAATAAATAAATAACTATGAAATCCGTAACAATATGAATTGAGTAATAATTAATAATAAAGCAAAGTGCATGCACATGCATGCACCAATATATCGTACAAAACTATGATTTTAAAACTGAGACCATGAGTTCGGCCACATTCGGCTATCGGGGGATGCGTACAAGTTCTGAGTGCACGTGTCCCCCAAGAGCCGAACGTAGCTGAACGCAAGCTACTCACACGCATTTGTAATTTAAGTAGTGTGTATGTCAGCTCGCTGTGAGTAATCTAACAACACTGAATAAATTATCGTTAATTACTTAGCAGAAAACATTTCATTTTTTTCTTCGTCGATATGTTATTTTATTATTATATATTATTATTTGCCGATATATTTGGCCGGGCTTCAAAAATATTTGTTGTGGGCCGCGAGTTTGACATCCTTGCTTTATACCGTGGAGTGTTCGGCTTGCGTTGTTTTCTCCGCATCGTTTTCATCCGAAATGTTTTCGGTTGCAACCTTTCTGCCGGCTACAACATTAGGTGTCCATTAAGCCTAACGAAGATTCCTTGAACAGGCGAATTCTGTTTCAGAAGAGCCACAGGCTACATCAAGCACAGAGGTATAAGGATAAATTTAAGGCCATTTCAAAAAGCATCACTGATAATTTATTGAGGAAAGACGTCATCTTAGATGAACTTTATAATATAGTAATAAAAAGATACTATAAAATGTCAAGATTATAAAGTAAACGAGAACACACTGATAATATAAAATGCTATTAATTTAGAAGCAAACAACAAAAATCAGGTTTATATTTGCAAATTTTTACAGGACTAGTTACGATGGTTTTCTCAGCTGATAAGCTGAGAAAGAATAAATGAACGAGATAAGATAAGAAAGGCCAGACAGGAGTTAGGCTACTGGCACGTTTTGTTGTTTGACTTCTAAATTGATATTTCTTCGGCATGTCATTTTTGCCTAAATAATAGAATACTATGTCAGGTACAATTGCCCAAGAGCGATCAATCTTTAGTCAAGTCATCAGTTAATCTAGATCGAAATTAGACAAACAAATAAAACAGGAGCATACAGTTCTCGTTGATCCGCGGAAAGATCTTGTCGCTTCAGAAGAGTTAAAGTAATTTTAGTTCAAACTATTTAATCTGTCATTCCTGTTTACTTAAAATTAGGAATGAAAAAAGTTCGAAAAATAACGAGGGGTGGTATTTTATGAGAGATATTATCTTTCAAAGAATGATGATATTCAGATAGTTAGGATATAAGGTATTTCTACCGCCTTCCTAGCTTGCCTTCGTGGTGTAGCGGTTCTGTACGCTGGGCCGGTGTTCCAGAGGTCCGTGGTTCGATTCCCGGCGAAGGCGTTGTTAATTTTTTCTCTTGCCTACTTCTAAAAAATACCTAATATCTCTACAAGGGTGGCAACATACAATAATGTAAAACACAAAGAAGTCTTGATGTTAATGAGACGAAAATAATTAAACCTTCGAATCATAATATTCAAGATAACATCACTTAGGATAATATCCTGGAAATAGTGAAAATATAGATATACGAACTGGAAACTGTTAACGTGGAGATCGCTTTCGTGATGAAGACGCCAAGGTAATACGCACTGGAATGTGTCTTTAGAAACCAAAAGAGTTTCGCGAAATTTGGAAATAAATAAGATTAACTTACGTTGGTCTAGACAGAGTATTAGACAGTTTCTCAAGGTAAACTTTCGCCGGTATGATTAGTTCCAGTA